CGGTGCTGGAGTCCCTGGTGGTGTCGGTGCTGGAGTCCCTGGTGGTGTCGGTGCTGGAGTACCTGGTGGTGTCGGTGCTGGAGTACCTGGTGGTGTCGGTGCTGGAGTACCTGGTGGTGTCGGTGCTGGAGTACCTGGTGGCGTCGGTGCTGGAGTACCTGGTGGTGTCGGTGCTGGAGTACCTGGTGGTGTCGGTGCTGGAGTACCTGGTGGTGTCGGTGCTGGAGTACCTGGTGGTGTCGGTGCTGGAGTACCTGGTGGTGTCGGTGCTGGAGTACCTGGGCTTGGTGCTGGAGTATCTGGTGAGGTCGTTGCTGAGGTACCTAAAACAAATGTAACCAGAGAGATAACCTAAATTATACTCGGTTGTGGTTGGTGTGATACAGCCTGTACTTCTTGGTACTGTTATAGCTATATGTTTCAAAGAGAAAAATATATGTTAGGTGAATTTCCTAACTTAATCTGAAACAAATATAACCAAAGATTGGCGGAAAAGTCACCGGATGCTCGCCGGTTAGTGGGTTTTAAAAAGAAAACTTATTAGCGAGTTTTAGCTTGACGTTTACGACAAACGTCAAACTGCTAACGAAGTTTTCGATTTTACAACTCTATTTTAACAGCTTTTACACCAATTTTGAAATATAAACAATTATTGAACTCGTGCTCTTTAGCAATGTTTTAAAAGAAAGCAAATTAACCACTGGTCACGTATTCACCAGAGCAGTAAATTAAGATTTGGCGTTTGAAGTTTACGTTTGGCGTATAAATTTCATGCTTGATCTGCTATGAGGGCTTGTGTAGTCGTTAAAGCATGAAATTTACACGCCAAATGTAAACTTCAAACGCCAAATCTTAATTTACTGCTTTCGCGAATACACGACCAGAGTTAAATTGTTTTCTTAAATCATTGTTAAATACCACAAGTTTAATAATTATTTGATATATTTCAAAGCTGGTGTAAAAGCTGTTATAATGCAGTTGTAAAATCAAAAACTTCGTTAGAGGTTTGACGTTTGCCGCAAACGTCAAATAAAAACTCTGTATTGTCTTTTAAGCACCTTAGATAAAACAAGACGCCTGCTCAGGCGTTCGCACTGGCCTTTGTCGGCCAAACGCACAAACCAATTCCGAGTGTCTTTGCGAGAATTTTATGGCGAAGAGTAGATGTGTTTGAAACTGCATAGTATCTAGATGAATATATTTATTTGATACGTCTTATCTCTGAGTGCGTGCCGCACACGTGGAATGGGCATTAATTCCACTTGCATGGCAATTTGCATCCTGGAACAAAGAGAGCTAGTGGATTGACATATCCATCAGTGATAGTGGTCTTATGGCTTACATCCTTCGGTTAACTTCCCACTGCTCAAGAAACTATTGCGAAGGTCAAGAGTGAAATTTGTTGCGATTGATAATTGTCAATGAGAAACGCTATCATGCAATAAAAAAACACGGGTTAGCGGGTTGATCGCGAGATTGCAGCACAAATCTATTTTTTCCAGCATTCTTCCAGCACTGGCAATTTCTCGACCATTGTCGTCGAATTTTCCAGGGTTTCCTACATTTTACAAGAGCTTGCACTCTTGGCCAGGTAATAATCTCAATTCCACAATTTTTTTGTGGCAAAAAAAGCACTGGGTACCAGATGGGTATATTAGGATTCAATGATTCAATTTTAGGATGCAATGATTCAATTTTAGGATTCAATGATTCACTATATGATTCAATTATTCAATCTAGGATTCAATGATTCAATCTATAGTTCAATGATTCAATCTTAGGATTCAATGATTCAATTTTAGGATTCAATGATTCAATTTTAGGATTCAATGATTCAAATTTAGTATTCAATTATTTCCATTTTAGGATTCAATTATTCAATCTAGGATTCAATTACTCAATCCACAATTCAATGATTCACTCTATAATTCAATGATTCAATCTTAGGATTCAATGATTCAATTTTAGGATTCAATGATTCAATCTTAGGATTCAATGATTCAATTTTAGGATTCAATGATTCAATTTTAGGATTCAATGATTCACTCTATGATTCAATGATTCACTCTATGATTCAATGATTCAATCTTTGGATTCAATGATTCAATTTGAGGATTCAATTATTCAATTTTAGGATTAAATTATTCAATTTTAGTACTCAATGATTCAATTTTAGGATTCAATGATTTAATCCAGGATTCAAAGGTTCACTCCATGATTCGATGATTCACTCTATGATTCAATGATTCAGTTTTAGGATTCAATGATTCACTCTATGATTCAATGATTCAATTTTAGATTCAATGATTCAATTTTAGGATTCAATTATTCAATCTATAGTTCAATGATTCAATCTTAGGATTAACTTATTCAATTTTAGAATTCAATTATTCAATTTTAGGATTCAATGAATCAATCTTAGGATTCAATTATTCAATTTTAGGATTCAATGATTCAATTTTAGGATTCAATGATTCACTCTATGATTCAATGATTCACTCAAGTTGTTACAAGTCTGCAAACAAGTTGTTACAAATATGTTCACAAGCTGTCAGCAAGTTGTCTTCGCACTATTTGTTCCCAGTTGTTGTAACAAGTTTGGAACAAGCTGTTAACAACTTGTACCAAGCTTGGTGGCATTATCAGACTTGTTACAAGGTTGTTCTAACAAGCCTGCATGATACAGTCATGATAAACAAGAATGTTACAAGGTTGACGACACAAGGTTGTAACAATACTGCTATATCATGACTGTATTGGGACTTGTTGGAACAACCTTGTAACAAGCCTGATAATATCAACAAGGTTGTTACAAATTGTTAACAGCTTGTTCCAAACTTGTCGACAAATTGTGACAAGCAGTGCGAATACAACTTGTTGACGGCTTGTTGACAAACGTGTTACAAGATGTGAGATTTTTGAATGTGTATTCGAAAATCGGGGTAGTCAGAATAGTTCAGAACAGTCATGTGACTGCCTTCTGTTCCATTCCATTAGTGTTCCAAAAATCCGGAGTACTCCGAACAGTAAAATATCCAAACTGGCCATTCTTCCACCGATCACTGATTAAGTATTGGGGAAAAGGAAGATCCATTGTTTCATTCCAAACATGGAGGTAGGATCCGCAGCGGAAGACCAGCAAGGATAGATGAAAAATGGGGTGGGAGGGTGGGCGCCTTAAACCACGCGTCACAAAAATGATATTCCCATTCCCACTCCACCCCTCCATCCCACCATGGCTAACGATCTAGTCTCTTTACTCGAACACTTCTTCCCCGTGGCGATCAGCACAAAACAAGCTGTATTACAGAAAATCCTAGCCCTTATGCATATTTTAACACTTAATCAGTTCCCGTGGAACATTTTGCCAGTTTGAATAGTAAATGGAGCAGCTTGAAGGCAAACAATAAACATCGAACGATCACGTGACCGGCGTTTCGGCTACCTTATACGCGCCCGCATTACTTGCCTATGAAGTTTCTGTGGTACTTCATATAGATCTTGTTTGCTCTTTCTCTATTCGACGTTGTTGCGAAGAATATATGCAAATATTTTAAAGTAAGTTTATTATATTGATTATTTTATATTTGTTACTGACAGTAGTTGAGCCACCTGTGGGTTAGATTAGATCAATTAGAGTTAGCGTTAATTCAACATGTGTCGCGAATGATTGTGTAAATAAATTCGGACGTGTTTAAAATTTTATTCATATTATTAATTTTATTCAAAGCTAGGTGGAGCTCATGCTGGGTGAACACGATCCTATGCTGGGTGAAGACGATCATGGTAACAACGATATATGCTAATGCAAAAACGTCAAGACGAATGATTCATGCCAAAAAAATAATCGACGACTCCATAAGACAATAGGCGTCACTAGTAGTTATATGTAATTGTATTTTCAGTCCGAACGAAAACGAATTAATAACAGGTAATTATAATTGGCCAAATCGATAGTTAGGTAATCAGATTGAAATGCTGTTGGCTACGATCACCTCCCGCAGTGATTTGCGCAGTGATTAACGAGGGGCTAAAGATAGGTGTTATTCGAGAAGGGATCACACATCGAGTGTGTTTTGGATACAGTTGCTATACAATTACCTACCACAATCTTCACAACAAAGAACTGAATTCCACTGCAAATTTTGAGTATTTTAGTATTACGCGCGGTAAAAATAACCATTTTTGAGCCGAAAGTGGTTATTTTTACAGCGCGTAATACTAAAATACTGAAAATTTGCTAGTTTCACAGGGCTATATTTTCCGTATTTTACAACATTTCGACAACATAGGATGCTCGTTTGAGCTACTATGATATATTTCGTCTTTCTTGTCTATAGATAAAAATTAGTCGATAGCTGGAATTGTCTATTGATAGTTATAGCTACTGGATAGCTCTATAAGTTCTAAACAGTTCTCCGTGGAGGTCGAGTATGTTTGGCTGGGTGAAGATCTCACATGAAGAATTCTCATATACGTCCATAGATACAGAAAAGTGGACATAAAAGGCACTTGTCATTGTGGTGTTTGCGCCACTTTAAGTAGATTGTAACACTTTAATTTCGAAAACATTCAATTTTGTGAAAATTCGATTTCGTGAACATTCGATTTCGTGAAAGCAAAGTCAAATTGAATTCTTCAGTCGCAATGAATTTTTGTACATAATTATGTAGGTGTTAATTATTGGTTCTTTGTTTGATTTTATGCCAGAAATGTACGTTTTTTATATAATCCGTAGAGACATCACGTTTATTTGGAATTACTACAATCTTGGCCAAAAACACATGTAGAACGACTGAACGTTCTACATTCCCCCTAAAATCATTTATGTTGCATTTTGTAAGTATGCCAACTCCCCCCTCCCCCATTCAATAGAGAGCTTTAGATATGACTACGGCTGCGAGATCTAGTACGACTACGAGATTTTTCCGGTATATATCTGCTCGGAAAAACTTAAAACTGTACGTAGTTTGGTTCAAGTGTTGTTTTAAAGACGCCAAAGAGAGGACGCCTATATATATATATATATGTATATATATATATATATATATATATATATATATATATATATATATATATATATATATATATATATATATATATATATATATATATATATATATATATAGCCTAAGATGTTAGCTTACAAAACACAAACAGTGCTCAATACCATATAGATAGAGCGTAATATAGTTTTCCGTTTTACCTCAAAACAACCACAACAGTCTGTTTAATCTGTATAGGAATCATCAGGTGGTCATGATTCCTATACGGATCCGGATTCCTATACTGATCCTGATTCCCATGATTCCTATACGGCCATGATTCCTATA